AAATTCTTTTTTTGTTTTTTGAAAATGTAATTCAATAAAAAAAATTTGAATATATCTCTCTATATATTTAGAAGAGAATGAAGATATGTCAGAAGATATAGAAACAAGAAAAATGATAATTATTACAGGTATTGAAAATAATAATACTCAAGGAATAAGTACTACTGAACGATTAATTGTTGCCAAAAAATCGGCAGTACCACCAGTACTTACGCTATCATCTACAATTCCACGAGATCTATGGACAAATAAAGTTGAATTTCTTCTATCAGTTATTGGTTATGTCGTTGATCTTGGTAAGATGAAAGTAGAGAATTGTGAAAGAAAAAAAAATGAACATAATTATCTATTATTATTCGATTGATAGGTAATGTTTGGCGATTTCCATATACATGTTATGAAAATGGTGGTGGTGCATTTCTAATTCCATATATAATTTTTTTATGTCTTCTTGGAATTCCAATGCTGTAAGTATAAACATCTTCAAAACTATTCAATTGAAAATAAGAAAGTCTTAAGAATAAATTTCTTAAGGGGACCCCCCCCCTCAGAAAATCGATTTTTTCCAAACAATATCGAAATTGAGTTTTTACCACAGGAAGATAGAGCGAAGCTTCCTCTTTCAGAATATATATAGATTTTTGGAAAATGATCCGTTTTTCAAAGACTTGTCAAATCAGACTTTAACTTCCTTACCATAATTTTCGTGGTTTTTTAAAGTTTTTCTGTTTGGAAAAACTCCGTTATTACTTCAATTATCATTGAATAAAACATTTTGATATTAACCCGCATGTCAGATGGCGTTAGTTTTACTGCATCTTTTACGCGCCTTAAAATAGTTTTAGAAAATATACCATTTTAATATGAGTTTTTTGAATTTGACCGAAAAAACCACTTCTAAAACTTTTTTAATGTTTTTCTCAGAACATGATTTCCAATCAGAAAAATTGGAACTCCTCCCTCATTTTTCGAGCTATTACCAATATTTGTTTTTTGTTTTAAAGGTCTTGATCAGAGTAAACTTTTGTCCGAACGGATTTTTGAAAGTTGGTTCCTGGGCTGAGAAAAGTAGAATTTACTGTCGTTGGACTACCATTTTTTATGCTAATTTTGAGACCCTCGCACTAAAATGCTCATAAAAAACAAATAGGACGGAATATCAAAATTCTGTTCGGACAAAAGTTGCATACTGACATGTATTTTAATTTGAAACTAGCCCGAGCTCTCTACCTCTTCTTATGACGCAGTTATACCAATTCTCCTGAAGGCCAAAAATGACTCATGAATCAGCTGGAAATCTTGTCTAGTATGACCAATCGAGCTGAAATTTTTACCAGAAGTATATCTCACCAAGATCAGTCATCCCTGAAAATTTCAGCATGAAAAGACCGTCAAAAGTGGAAAATCGTTTCTGAGGGGGGGGGGGTCCCCTTAAGTTCAATATTTCTCATCTACTTCAATTTTTAAGAAAATATATAAAAAGATTTTTTGTTTTGTTTTTTAATAGTTATCTCGAATTATTTCTTGGTCAATTTTATCATTGTGGTAATATAACATTATGGGGACGAATAGCTCCATCAATGAAGGGTATTGGTATAGCATCATTCTTAATTGTGACTGCTGTTACATTATTCTATACAACTATCATCGGTAAGAATATACACATTTACAATTTAAATAGATAATCTTGATTTTTTGTTTTAGCACATGCTGTTTTTTATCTACTTGCATCATGTCGTGCAATAATGCCATGGAGTTTATGTACACATTCATGGAATACACCACTTTGTTCAGAACGTCTACGTAAAGAACCTATAAATAATCAAACTATTCAAGAAAATTGTTTTAATCGAACAACATTATTATGTATTAATGAATCAAAAATTTCATCAGCTGAAGAATATTATAATATATTTGTATTAGGTATAAATCGTTCAAAAGGTTTAACTGATTTAGGTTATATTAAAATTGATTTACTTTTATGTCTTATATTAATATTTATACTTATGTATATATGTATTTATCGTGGAGTTAAAAGTACAGGTAATAAAGATTAAAAGAAGAAGAATTATTTGACAATACCTTTTTTTTGTGTTTAATAATTCTTAGGCAAAGCTGTTTATGTAACAGCTATATTACCTTATATTGTTTTAATAATATTACTTGTTCAAGGTCTTACTTTAGAAGGTTCACAAAATGGTGTAAGTTATTTTTTAAAACCAACATTTGAAAAATTAAAAGATCTCAAAGTTTGGTATTCAGCAGCAAATCAAATATTTTTTACACTTGGTTCTGGTTTATCGGTTTTAACAACATATGGTTCCTATAATATATCAACAAATAATTGTTATTATGATGCATTAATTGCTGTTATAGCAAATTTTGTAGCAAGTTTTCTTGCTGGTTTTGTTGTATTTTCTGCCTTAGGTCATATGGCATGGCGACTAAATAAAGATGTTAAATATGTTGTTGATCCAGGATCAAGTTTATCATTTATAGCTTATCCAGAAATTTTAGCAACATTTAAATATCCAACATTTTTTTCAATATTATTTTTTTTAATGGTTATTAATTTAGGACTTGATAGTGATTTTGGTGGTTTAGAAGCTATGTATACAGCATTAAGTGATGAATATTTCGTATTAAAACGTCATAGAAATTTAGGAATGTTTATTATGTGTTGTATACTAGTTATTGCTTGTTTACCAACAGTTACACACGGTAAATTATATATATATATATATATATTTATATGAAAGTATTTTTAAATTTAATTCTTTTTCTTTGATTATAGGTGGAAATTATGTTGTACAATTTTTGGATAAATTTTCAACGGGTACAGCATTAATGCTTGTTGTTATGATGGAAGCAATTGCTGCAAGTTGGGTAAGAAATGTTTCTTTTTTTTGGAAGATTTTTTTTTTTTTGATTAACGGATTTTTTTATTAAGGTCTACGGGATTAACAATATTGCCTATGATATTCAATTACATCTTGGCTTTCAACCAAATTATTTTTTTCGTTTTACTTGGAAATTTTTATGTCCAATTATTATCACTTTATTAATAATATTTTCATTAATTTCTTCAGATAAATTAATATATGGAAATTATATATATCCATCATGGTCAATTATATTTGGTTGGTGTTTTAATATGTCATTAATATTACCGATACCAATCATTATAATTTATGTATTTATACGTTATTCTGATCCTGAAAAATCCTTAAAAGAACGTATTTATTTTTTATTTGTACCAACTATAACAAAACAAAAATTAAAACGAGAAATTGAACAGCAAAATGCATTTGTTTCGTCATCATTATCACCTATGTCACATGTTTAAATGTTGTCTGTTCGTAGAAATATACATATACATATATATATATATATATAGATCTTTGAAATAAATATAAACATATTGATAATTTTATTTTACTTTGTTTTATATAATGAAAAGAACATAAATATTTCTTAAATAATATCACTGTAAAGATTACGATGGTCGAAGTAATGTTAACTTTTGTTGAAGATTCGAGAATTTCATAAAAGATATTCATAATGATGATGATCGCATACGAAGACTGCTTAGTTTTTGTTTATCTTCAGTTGATTGTCTTATAGGAATAAATGGTCGACAACAAAGAAGATTAATAGCAACATCTCGAAAATCAGCTGATGCTAACCAATAAATAATAAATGATGTAACATGACTTGTGGTTGCTAAATCACTTAATCCCATCGTAATTAAAGCTCGATGAGTTTTTACTTTTTTACCAAAAAAAATATAAAATATTGCAGAAGGAGAAGTAAATACAATAAAAAATATTGATATAAATAATAATGTTTTTGTTAAACGATTACCCTGACCTGTTAATGAATTTCGATTTGTAGAAGGCATTGTTGATGATGGTTGCATTATAGAATTTGAACTCATTCTCGCATGTTGTGTACGACGTCGAGATTCACGAACATGACGAATTATATATATATTACATGAAATCATTAATGTAAATGGAATAAAATTATATAATAATAAATGAACTATTTCCCAAAATTGAAAAAAAGCGGATCGATAACAAGCAACTTTTGTTTGTGTCTGATTATAATTATCAATAGCAATAACATATGTTCCATTGATAATCAATATAGGAAAATTAATAAGACCTAAAAGAAGAATAGTTATCCAACTAAGACGATGAATGATATTTGATTTTAATATATATTTTCTTATAGTCCAATGATGATTTAATGAAACACAACGTGTAAATGATGCTAATGTTTTAAGCCATGCAGCAGATTGAAGTAAAAAATACGCTCCATAGGATATTAATTTACAAACAAATAATGAATGTTGTTCAAGATTTTTAATTACAACATTCTTTTGATGTTTCCATATAAGTTCTCGTACAGCATAATTTAAATTCCATGTAAACGGTATAAGAAGTTCAATAAGAGCTAAATATGAAAAAACAATTATAGTTGGATTTGAACGATTAGGTATATGTCGTTTATATATATATAAGCAAAAAAGATTTAATGGTGTACCAATAAGTATAAGAATAAAAGAATAGAGACCAAAAATAAAATATCCATAATGAACTATTGTTGCTATCATATTTTATTGATATTCTAGGAATAACAAAACAAAAATTAAAAAAAAAGAACGAAATCAATTCAAATATATTCTATGATAAAATAATATTATAATCGTTTCGTTACTAATAAGAGTATTTTTCTTGTAATTGTATAAGTGTTTACGCATTCTTGCATTTTGATACTAATTATCTTTATTCAAGTCAATGACAAATAGTTTTCATAATATGCAGTACAAAGAATGCCTGCCATAACTTACTTATTATCATGAATCAAGGAGAAAACAACAGACTTCAATATTGTGGAATTTCGTTACAAACTGTAAGATCAGAATCTCTGTTGTTTTGTCTTGTCAAAACGATTTTCAAGCATTTAGGAGTGTTTCGAGATCATCAGAATTGGAAGAAAGTGAGGGGAGGCTGATTGAAAGGTTTTTGCTAAAATTGACCGGATTTTAGAAGAGAGAATCGAACGTTTTTTCTGAGAGTGGTGAGCAAACAAACGATTAAAATACTAGGAAAAAATTAAAATTTCTCAAGATTGAAGTGGAGAATGGTGATTCCCGTTTGGTACATTCTTTCAAGCATGGTATTCGCTATAAGTTTCTCAAATGCGTAATAACTTCATTTTTTTTTTCTTGTATTATTCTCAATTGAATTTTTGTATGAAATAGATGAAAAATTAGACAAATAGTTTTAATCAACATTAAAATTTGTCTACAATTATTTGCAGTACAATTGATATACAAAAGAGAAAGCAAACTTACCAAATATTGACTAGTAAAAACAATCTATAGCAATATGAGTAAAACATTTTTTAAGACAGGAATTAATCATTTATATTTTCTTCTCTCAATCTCAAACCGGAAAATTGTTTCATATATATTAAGTATAAAATATTAACTACTCAAGTCTTTCTTTTTTTTTTCTATTATATATCAATACAATAGCGGATACGTTTTGCTAAATCGAGCTTGCTTTCTTTTTTTTTTCATTTATTTTGCCTTTTTTTTCTTTCTCCAAATATATATATATATATATATATATCAACTACGGACTTGTCATACTTTGGCCGTTGTAATTGTCTATGACTTATTGATTGACATCGAAATTGCAAGAAAATCTACATATGCGTCTAACACCTAAACTCATTGTAGAAATTACTTCATAAACATGTTAGAACAATAAAGACAAAAGAAATAACCGGAAGTTATAAGTACTACTCTACATATGTGTCTTCAACACAATTAACTTTTGTTCGTGTATTTCATTGTGAAAGATAATGAAGCAATAAAAAAAATAAAGAAAAACGTACAGAAAAAAAAAATTGTTTCATACGATCAATTAAAGTGATTTTAGGAAGGAAATGAAACTATAATTATTGACAAAAATAAATAAATAAATAAAATATATTTAATATAAGATAGAAACGACATGTGTTAGATTGAAGGCAATATGATTTTCCGTGATAGGCTAGTGTATCAAAGAAAATAATATAGTTTTTGCTGATAACTAATAATCAGTAGTATTTTCTCAAAAAGATTTTTTATTAACTTTTATATCGATAGAATCAAGAGACTATGATGATACTTAATCAAGTTAACAAAGATAAGTAGAGGTGTCTCGAGAGGAAAAGAGTCATTTCCTTCTAATCCTGGACAACTTTTGTTCTTTCTCAATGAAACTGAAGGGTTTTCTTCTTTTTTTTCTGTTCAACAGTCTCCATAACAAGGGTTGAGCTACTCTACCCAATCTTGGTGACTGCAGAACATCCCTGATGATAAGTATGCCTAAATATTTATCTATAAAATTCAAGTAAAATTTATTTACGGTTAAGATTGTTATTTTTCAAAAGTAATCCATGTAAAGTAAAATCAATCAATATTACATTTTAATTGTAGATAAATATTTTCAAAACTCTTTTTTTATATATTATATCAAAATAAAAATAGATGAATTCTTTCTTTTTTTGTTTCTTAGAAATATTTTTTAAGACAAGAAAATAATAAATAGGAAAAAAAAAGTCAATGGGTACGTGCCAAAAAAAGAAACGAATAATGGAATTTTTCTTATTAGGAAAGAAAAAAAACACCCAAATAAATCAATAAATATTCATACTTTGAAGATTAATCCGTTATGACTAAGCAAATCATTTTCGTATTAATGGAAACTAATAATCTCTGATATTATGTTGAGATTAACTGGAAGAAATGGATTGGACAAAAATATTTCAAGAATCCTTGACGTTCCAAATTTATGACGAAAAAAAAGCTTTCCGATCCGCTCTTCAACACACCATATGGTTTATTGGATAAGAAAGTCATAATTTTTCTTTATATTGATTTTTCTCTTTTGATATTATATAAGATTAATAAAAAAAAGAAAGATGAGTAATTTATATCAGCTACTTGTACATCTTATTACTATTCATAAAAACTCTAAGACGACGACAGCTGTTGAAATACAATACAATTAAAAACGAAAACACTGAAAGAAAACAAAAAATAAACAAACAGAAGATGTCATTTAAATAAAATCATCCTACAATTCCTTTAACAAATACATTAATCTAATATTAATCAACATTAAAAAAAATCCTTTATTATTTTTTATCTGTGTAAATATTTCACTTCGTATAACATGTTTTGTTATATGACCTGTATACATCAGATGTGGTGCAGATGACATTCTTCACTGTACAAGATGTTGAGGATTTATTTGATCTCAAAACAGATGTTATTTTATATCTACTGTGCATGCCAGAAGCTTGACAGAAAAAAAAATAATTAGATCATTCATCTAGATTATATGATAGCAAGACAGAATCAGACTATATAATTTGGACATGGTTATGCTCTATATAGCCATATAACATGAATAGAACAAATGATAACAAAAGATCCGGTTTCATCAACATTTTCTTGTGAAGAAGAGTTTAAATAAATGAAAAATATGAAGCAATAAATAACGCATAATTGACAATGGTATTGGCTCGAAAAATAAAAAGCAAAAAAAAAAGACTTCCGATTAGTTATAATTACTTGTTGAAATGCATATTTATCGTTTTCTTTAGAAATAAAATAGGCATGAATAAAACTAGATGTCAATCATGAAGTCATAATAATAGAGATCATAATTTTCAGAATAATTTGAAGCTTTTAGATCAAACCAAACGATAAATTTTTTATTATCGTATATCAAAAAAATCTCAAAATAACAGCAATGAAAACTTTTATGTAGGAAAACATACGAAAAAAACAAATGTTTGTAATCAAATAATTTTTACATGTCGTCATCAAAACTTGTAATAATTAAGGCAAAACAGATGATAGATATGTTGATTATAGACCAACGGTTTTCATCAGAATCTCATTATCGGAGGCTATCATATATAGTGCTAGTTTTTGTTTACTTGAATGTCATCTTCAATAAATAAAACTATATATCATTTAATAAATTGCCATGTGTTAAATACACTTGAGGTTAGTTTTTATCATTTTTTTTTAATATAAGTTATTATTCGACCATCAATCAAATAATATTTTCAAAGATTGCCTGTTCTTTTCAGTTTCTATCAAAAGAAAAATAATCAATAAATCTCATATTTATTCTTTATTGATAATATTATTTATAAAAGAAAGTCATTTTTTTTTTGAGAGCGCATATATGTTCTATATTTGTTTAGTATTTTT